GGGCATATGGCTGAAGGTGGCATTCACCAAATGGCATGTGGCCTAGATTCATAGCTTGCTGCTGTCCCTGTTCAGCTGTGTGGCCTTTGGCACACTTCTTAATCGCGCCAAGGCTTGTTTTATCTGAACGTGAAACTAAAAATAGTCTTTACAAGCACAGGATTGTACTGAAGATGAAATGAGAATGATAGAAAATGCACATCAGCTTAGTGACTCACATAATCCCTGTTATGTGACTTACATAGTTTTGATAGGAGAAATAAGACAAAGTCATGCAACATTAAAAGTGAAGGAAGAAAAGTTGTATGAATAAGCACAATTAAGCAAGTTGAGGAAATTGAATTATGAATAGATGGTGTGATTTTGCTAGTGTATATGCATGTGCATTCAACACTATACCCTGTCTCACCCGTGCCGGTTTGTATTTTTTCTTTCCTCTCCTCTCAGTCTTTGCAATCAGAGAATTTTGTTTGAGCTGAATACTTTTTCAGTTTAGAGTCTAGATAAGGAATGCAAATCATAGGGAGAAGTAGTGCTTTCTGGTTAAGATTGCTAATTAAGATTCAGTTTTTTTCTTTTATTTTAGAGATGTCTGTGTCTTTCTCCAAAGTCCCAAGAGTTCAGAGTAAATCAGCAAAAGCATAATGCAGTTGTAAAGTTAAATTGTACATACACACTAATGTCAGTAAGTTAAGGACACTGTAATTATCATCAGGAAAGGTTGAAAGAATTGACTTGGTCTGTGTCACAGTTTTCATTTATTTTTTAGTTATTTGGGCACAGCTTTCCGGTAGGAAGAGGAGTTTGTCATTTTAAAAGCTGAGTTTGCCCAGAGTAGCCAGTTAGTTGTGGAAATGAGTGAAAATCTTCTTCTGTAGCTTGGCAGGTAAATTTAGCCTTGCCGTGTTTTGCCTGCTGACATAATTCATGGTACAACATTATCATTTCCCTCAGAATTAAAAATAAATAAATCTTTTAAAAAAAGGATTAATGCTTTTGGCTTTGGGATGTTTTGATGTTTGAGTCTGTCCTTGATACTTTGACCTGTAGATCATAGAACACTGATTCTCAATGTGGCTAAAAACAGCTGGGATCCCATATGAGCAGCTGTTCATGTCCTGGCTGCTACACTTTCGATCCAGCTCCCTGCTGTGCCCTGGGAGAGTAGGGCAGAAGAGGGCCAAGTCCTTGAGCCCTTGCACCCACATGGGAGACTGAGAGGAAGCTCCTGGCTCCAAGCTTCAGATCATGTTGTGGCCATCTGGGGTTGAACCAGTGGATGGAAGACCTGCTTCTCTTTCTTCCTTTCCAATGTAAAAGATATGCCTTTCAGAGGCCACCATAATGTCTTCTCTGGCTAATCTTCCACCTACAAGGTCTGGCTTCCCATATGGGCATCACTTTGTGTTCTGGCTGCCCCACTTCCCATCCAGTTCCCTGACTGTAGCCTGGGAAAGCAGTAGAGGATGGTCCAAAGCCTTGAGACCTGCACCCCTGTGGGAGACCCAGAAGAATTTCCTGGTTCCTGGTTTTAGATTGGCTCAGCTCTGACCATTGCAGCCATTGGGAGAGTGGACCAGCAAATGGAAACTCTCCTTCTCTCTGTAAATCTGCCAACCTAATAAAAGTAAATGTTTAAAAAGTGTTAGGGGGCCTGGCATGGTATCCTAGCATCCCATATGGGAGCCGATTCATGTCCTGGTGGCCCCACTTCTCATCCAGCTCCCTGCTTGTGACCTGGGAAAGCAGTAGAGGAAGAGGTTCCTGGCTCCTGGCTTTGGATCAGCTCAGCTTTGGCTGTTAGGGCCACTTGGGGAGTGAATCAGTGACTGGAAGATCTTCCTCTTTGTCTCTCCTCTCTGTATATGTGTCTTTCCAATAAAAATAAATACATCTTTTTTGAAAGAAATAAATACAGTTTTTCTTTCAAAAGATTTTAATATCTGCATATATGAGGATTTATTTATTTGGAAGGCAGAGTTAATGGTGTAGAGGGAGAGATCAGTATTTAACCATCTTTATCCACTGGTCAACTCCCCAAATGGTGTAATGGCTTGGGCAGGGCAGGGCTGAAGGCAGGAGCCAGGAACTCCTTCTGGGTCTTCCTTCTTCTTCAGCCATCTTGGGCTGTGTTCCCAAAGTGCGGTAGTGGGGAGCTGTATTGGAAGTGAGCTGGCTGTGCCACACATGGTCCTCTCGTGGTGTCCAGTTTTGTCATGAAAATTTACAATTGGAAACTGAAATATCATCTGGATGACTTTAAGAGAATTCTTCCGTACTGTTTCCTTTCTCACTGAAATGAAACGATTCAGGCCTGAGATTGTGCTCATTAGATGTTGAGTGTTTTCCCTAAATTTTCTAAGAATTTCCCAGGATGATTAATTTTGTTTGTCATGGTTCACATTCTCACTTTCCATTGTCTCATTGTCCATTAGTCTCATTGACTTTTTTCTTAAGGTTTTTTTTTTCAGTTTATTTTTTATTTAGCCGTGTTTGGCAAAGTACAATTATCGCAGGGATGTTTATTGGGTCTTAAAGTTGGCAGAAGTTTAGGATTGTAAACTGTAATTACAAAACAGGCAGCAACACTGCTGTTTGTCAGTTCACGTGCTTGTTACCCTCTGGCCATAACTCTGCTCCCTGGTAATTTGGCCTTGACAGTACAAGGTGTGTTTTCCATAAGATGAGTTTGGGATCTCCATCTTCTCCTTTCTGTTCCGTGTTCTCCTGGAGAATGAGCCCCCTCTTAAGACTTCAGCAGTACAAAGCATCAGCACCTGGGAGTTTCTTTGTTGTTTTGTTTGTTTCTCAGGCAGCAGACAAGGTCCCTCTCAAGGCTTCATAAACAAAAGGAGGCCCTAGAGAATTAGTCACAAAACCCCCTCACTTAGCTGTATTTCTTCCCCTGTTAAGTATTTTGTGCCTGTTACTGAAATGATAATTCTAGCAATTAAACTCCACATTACAGACACAGTGGACATGTAGCAAGCGAAAGAAAAAAGGCACTTAGGATTTTTAATTGACAAATTAATTGTATGTATCTGTACAATGCAGTGTACGTGAATACCATGCCCAAGATCAAGTCGTGTATTTGTCACCTCAAACATTATCATTTCTTTATGGTGATAACAGTCAATGTCTGTCTTCCAGCTATTTTGAAATATACAATAAATGATTTGAACTATAGTCACCCTGTTGTACTGTAGAACACTAGAACTTATTCCTCATAGGTAATTGTAAGAAAAGTTTGATTGGGTTTGGGCTTGTGGCCTGGAGGTTAGGTCCTTTTGGGATGTTTGTGTCCCGTTTCAGAGCACGTGGTCCAAGTCCCAACACTTCTGTGTCTAAGCCTGCACTGCTGCCATGTGATCTGGGAAGCAGCAGGTGGTGGCTGAAGTACCAGAGTCCCTGGCATCCACATGGGAGACCCAGGTAGAGTTCCAGGCTCCTGGCTTTGGCTTGGTTGAGTCCCAGGTGTGGTGGGTGTTTGGGGAGTGAACTAGAGGAAAGGATGGAAGATATTTCTCTTTTTCTGCCCTTCAAAGCAATAGAACAAGTGAATATTTGAGACAGGTTTCACTGCTGTATGCTTTACCTACCATAAAACTTACCCAAGCACAATGTACAATCCAGATGTTTTTAATATATTAATAAAAAAAATACAATCAAAACCACAAGCTAAATTTAGATAATTTTCACCGCAGCTCAAAAGAAGCAGAAATAGTCACTTTCCCCTCTTCCCCCGGCCTCGGGCAACTACTCGTCTGCTTTCTCTGGCTCTAGAGATCAGCTTATTCTATGCATTTCACGTCACTGGCATCACACAACAGATATGCGGTCTTTTGTGGCTGGCTGCATTCCCTGTATTTTCACAGTTCATACATGGCGCGGCTTCCCCACATTGTGTGTACTCATCAGTTGACGGGCACTGGGGTTAGACCAACCTTTGATACTCCTGAGTGGGCTGCTGCGAACATTCGTGCACATGTTTTCTGTGTAGAAGTATTTTTGCGTTTCTCTAGAGAGAAAACCTGGAGTGAAACTGCTGAATCATCTGCTAACTCGGTTTCACTTTTGGAGTTGCCAGACTGCTTCCCAGAGCTACTGTACCATTTTCAATCCCCACCAGCCCCCTTGGAGGGCTCCGGGTTCTCACATTGTCACTGCTGCTTTATATCTGGCCATCTCAGTGGATAGTGAGCTGGTAGAGAGTGTGATGAAATTTTTGTTTTTGTTTGTATAAAAGGGAATTTTGAAGAAGGTAGTGAAACTGGAGGCTGGTGTCAACTATTCATCAGTCATCCAGAAATTAACCAGGACTCTGCTAAACAGGAGAAGTCTGTGGTTTGCTGTGGGCTCCATGTTGATGGACATGCAAATTTGGCGGGAAGTTGGTTCAGTCCTGAAGCTTGGGGCAGCTTGCCTGTGAGGGTCTCCGGCAGCCAGGCCAGGGGCTGCAGGCTCCTGCCTCCTGCAGGCTGCTCAATCTTGGCTGCAGGATTGAGCTCCTCATTTCAAGCGGTGAAATACTTCTAACCAAGCTAACAATGAGTTATTTGGCTTAAAACATTTTAGTAATTTAGTAAGCAGGAAACTCAAGGAAAAGATGTTCCGAGAAAGGACCAGGCAAACTTATTGATGAGACCAATTTTAAAACTGGTGTTTTCTGAACAGTCCATGAAGATTGTTGTTGTCAATCTCTTGTAGTCAGGGTGGCTCATTGGTGACATGTGAGCTACATTCTGTGTTCACCAACTGGTTCTAAACAGTTTATTTAGATTTTACACTCTTACTGAAGTAAAATGCTGGCAGCATCATTACAACTTACGGGCGAACTGAAAGGCTTCCATTTGAGATGCAAGACATTTTAAGAATAATTGGGAAAGGCTGTGTTATAAACTGGTTACATTTATCACCTAAGTTGATTTCAAACTTTTTTTTGACTTGACTTTAACTTTCCTCTCCACCCCGCCCCCTTTCTTTTTTGCTCACTCTTCTAGGCTACATGACTGTCTGAAGGAGAAGAACAATGTTATGCTGGGGGTATTGGTCTCTGGGCCAGCCAGGAATCAGCACCAACCTGCAAGGAATTGTGGCCGAGCCACAGGTGTGCGGATTCATAGCTGACAGAAGTGTCAAGGAAGTGGCTTGTGGAGGAAACCACTCCGTGTTCCTGCTGGAGGATGGCGAGGTTTACACGTGCGGCTTGAACACCAAGGGACAGCTGGGCCATGAGAGGGAAGGGAACAAGCCAGGTGAGTGTGCCTGCCGCTGACCAGGGAGCGAGGAAGGCTGGCCAGGCCAGGTCTTGCCTCACCTCACCCCGCAGCTGTGTTCGGGGCCTCCCCTACTGTTGGCAGTCTTGGTGTTATTCCACACTTTTGCAGGAAACAAACAAACAAAAACAACAACAACAACAAAACCAGACCTCCCCTTCTTCATTTTGTTAGAGAGGAAGCAGGAGGGTGACCTGTGAGTTCCTAGTTAGAGAAATGGGCTTACCCCAATAGCTGAAGGTCAAGCCATCGTGATGGTTTTTGTTCAGTACCAGAAGGGGTTGCTGCAAGTGACCTGTCCAGGCCTTTGTTCCCACGATGTGCGTGATGATGGGGGAATGGTGAGTGAGACACAGTGTTGAGGTGGCTCCACTGGTGCTGCTGTGGCACGACTGTCGGGAGTGCTGGGCAGTATGCTGATGAGTGGTGGGAAAGGGTGGAGCAGGAGAAGGGTGTTGGCCTGTGTGTGTGAGGGGCATTGGATGTGGCAGAAAGACCATATTCTGCATGCCTGAGTGAACCCTGTGGTATACATACAACGTGCAGTACCTGCCCAGGGCACCCCCAGCAGTACCCCGAGATTCTTAATAAAAGGCAGTGAGAGGGAGGCTGCTGGAAAGCTCAGGGCTAATTAATTTTCTTAATTGTTAGCACTTTCATTTATTAATAACAGGTGCGCTGCCTATGTACCATCTTGCGTTAAATTGTCATTTGCTTTTTACTCTTATTAAGTTTGACTCTCACTACCCGCATCACATGAATTCTTGAGATACTCATGTTTTTAAAATTTTTTTTTATTTTTCGTGATACAGTTCCTTGGGCTCAGGGAATTCCCCTTCTACCTTCCCCATAGCCCCTCCCTGCCACTGTTTTCCCCAATGTTATAACAGTGGTATAGTCTTTCAACTACAGTCACAAGTCCATCATGTTTCTGTTTGTATCCTGACATTGTAGGTATAGACAGCATTCCTAGTGTCAAGATACACTGAACAGTTTCATTGGGTGTCCTTTATTCGGTAAGCACAGATGTGTACAGTGTACACAGTGTACACAGCGAAGCACAGTGTAGCTTCACTCCATCATACAATCTCCTTGGTGCTGGTGTTTGGCATAGGAATTAACATGCTGCTTGGGACACCCACCTCCCATACTGATGTGCCAGCTCTGTACTCAAGTCTAACTTCCTGTTGTTGCCCATCCTGAGAGGTAACAGGTTGTGCTGTGTTTTTGTATTCAGTTCAGAACAAGACATTGAATTTTCCTAAAAGAACCACTTGGCTGTTTTTATTTATTTTTTTCTAGACAATTTTCCTCTTTTGTGTTTCTTTAGGTAAGTGCCTTTGGCATTAAAGTGAGCTAAATTTTGTCTGTCTGCTTCTTAGCTTTCTTCCCTCTCATGGTAAATGACCCTGGTAACCCTGCTCAGACACCAGTGTTGCTTCATAATCATTACTTTCTGCTGGTCAGGGCCGCAGGCCAGTCTGGAGCCACATGGTGATGTGTGCTTTGTGAGCCTACACTTCCTTGTTCTGTGCCCCAGGTTTCTGCATGAGTCGGCTCATCAGGCCAGCTCCCTCAGGAGCAGTACCCACTATTATAGCCAGGGGCATCCTTTACCTTTTGTTCCCGGCTCTTGGGAGTAGAGGTGTCCAGGGTTTTATAGAATCATCTGTAGACCAGCAGCCTCTGTGTCTGTACAAGGCACCTAATCCTACAGGGCCTCAAATGATACCGTTTTTAGAATAAAAACTCAGTGGAACATGCCACTTGCTGGTAAATTAGCACATCCTGTTCATAATGCTTTTTACATACAGAATACAACTGTATGCCATAAAACAAGCATGGGACAAAGGAAAGATTTTTGACTTTTACAAATGGCCTGCATACCAGCAATGATGAAGAAGCAAGGCATCCTCCTGCCTGTTGTCCAGCCGAACTGGTTCTCACTTTGAGCCTCTAAAGGTCCTGTTCCCCCAGGTGAGATCCTGTAGTGAGTCAACTTGCAGGTCCGCAGCCTGCTGCTTCCTGGGGGAGTGTCAGTATTGAGCAAGCACTGGGTCCTGCCTGAGGCCCCTTCTTCCCGCCTGTGATCCTGGCCGGATGTGGACCCACCCTGGCCAGTCTTGTAAAGCAGAGCCTGAGGAACTGCGAAGGGATGTTTCCAGGCCTCCCAAAGGCATAAGAAGTGACTGTGAGGTGAACAGCATTCCTGTGTTTGGCCTAAGGTGGGGATTAAAGCTCATGCTCTTTCCCAGGTGAGGGTAATCTGCGTAGATAGAGAATGCAGGGCCAGGCACTTATCCGTCATGCCGCACAAACCACGCTGCTGTGCAGTTCCATGAGCCCATGGTCAGCCTGGAATCTTCTCTGGAGTTAGAGGAAAATGGCTGAGCTGGGAATTTGAGAATTGTTGTCTCTAGTCCTTTATCCACCAGGAAGTAGATGTGTGGCCGTGGCAAAATTCTTGTTATTTCTGAGCCTCAGTTTCTTTCCTGTGAAGGGAAGAAACTTCCTTTTCTAACATTGTGGTTATTTATTTGTTTATTTAGAGATGCCTTTGTTTACTGGAAAGGCTGATTTGTAGGAGGAGAGAGAAATCTTGCACTGGTTCTTTCCTCAAATGGTTGGATCAGTTGGGCTTGGCTGAAGCCAGGAGCTTCATCCCAGTTTCTCAAGCACTCTGGCCCGTTTCCCACTGATTTCCAAGGTACAGCGGGGAGCTGGATTGGAAGTGGAACCGTCACGGCTTGAGCCAGTTGTCTCATGGGACGCTGACATCTCAGGTCGTGGAGTAACCCATTACACCTCAGAGTTGTGGTCCTAATCAAGTAGATACTAATGATGAAGATGACTCCACAAAGTGATCTGCAGCTGGGGAAGGCTGCCCTCGTCATCTGCCTTCTGTGTGGATTGGCTGTTGGGCCCACACACCTGGAGCTCAACAGTGGAGATAAGATTCACCTGTGGTAAAGGTGGGTGGGAGCAACACCGTAGGGTACTGCCACGGCAGAGCTGTGCTGGAGTTGTGGTGGAGAGTGGCTGTGCATGTAATTTGACATTTCTTCAGTTGATACTGCTCTGTGGTCCTGCTGCCTGGCAGCTGGTGAGCCCCGGATGTGAGCGAGACACAGCAGGGTAAGTCACTCATTGCTGGCTCGAACAGGTCAGGTCTCGGCTGTCACATCATGGGCAGGTACGTGCCATGGACAGTGCTGAGTGAGTCATGGGGAGTTTTTTACATTTAGCCAGGGGATCCAGCCCATGCTGATGATCTAACTCTCTAATAAACTGGTCTGCAGTATAAATTACAAGACATTCCAGAAATTCCTGTCATTCGTTCAGCTTGTCTGTAATTAACCAGTTCTCCATAGCAGCTGTGGTGTATAGGGCCTGTTTGAAAGGCAAGTTTGTGTAGGTATGTGCTTCCCTGTCTCTTTCATTGGTTGGTGTGTTCTAAGTCTGGGTACCATTGGGTGTATTTGTGATAAATGGGGCTTGCTGTCTCTGTGCCTGTGCAGAGTCCTGTCCAGAGAGCTGGGACTGGACGGGAAGTTAGTGTGTCTCAGGCAGTCCACAGCAGTGCTGTCTCCAGGGAGCTTCGGTGATGTTGGGGAGAAGAGCTGATGGAAGGCCCTTGTCCCAGAGGGGATGTTCCTGGGGGTAGTGGGCAAGGCTGGGACTTCACCTGGACATCACTGCCCAGATTCGTTGCCTTTGAAGTAGGAAGGATTTTTACAGAAATGAGCACAGGCCTGTTCCCTCCAGAGTTGAATATGAGCAAAAGCTGAGTTTGAGTTAATCCGGTGGTGATCTTCCTCCATTCTGAACACGTGGGGCAAGACCGAGGCTTCACAGTGCTGGTGGTGAGTGACTTCATGCCTGACTGCCAGTGGCTGCTGTGTGCACCTCCGCTGCTTCCAGTCTGAGCTTGGGTATGGCTAAGGTTCAGCTTTCCCTTGAAGGTGCAAGTGATTGTCTCCTGACTTGCTGAGAAGCGGTGGCGGAGTCACTTGGCACTATGGCTTCTGCTCACACACGTGCCTTGTATCTGTCCTGCCAGTCATCTGTCAGTCAATTCACTTTCTCTGGGTTGTTCAGCTATAACACACGGGAGTTCATTTTGGGGGTGCATTTTAAAATGTCACAGAGCAGTGTTATGGTAAGCTCTAATGACATTAAGGGTCGTGGGTCATAGAGATCCTTTTTTCTTTTCCTCCTCAGAAAATAGGCAACAATTTCCTATTTCTGTTGCCAGCACCGAGGTGACTGTGGTTTTCTCTAGGTGTGCCCTTGTGTGGTGGGGAGGGACATGCCAAGGACACAGTGAATATTGAAAGGCTGGCTAGGCAGCCTTCAAATATATCCCCTGTGCATTGGGCAGGGGGTGCTTCTGGCTTAGGTGTGCCCATGACTCAGAACTTTGTGGGATGGCCCAGGACGGGGAGTTTGGGGAGTCCCAGCAGTTTTTTTTCCCCTGCAGAGACTAATATTGTTCCATGTAAACACAGTGCCCACCTTGCAGAAGAGGGTTTTAGCTGTCCTGCACATTTGGCTCCTGTATGACTCTTATTCTTTTTTTTTTTTTTAAAAGTGTTTTTTATTATAAGGCAGATTTATTGAGAGAAGGTGAAACAAGATCTCGCTGGCTCATTCCCCAGCTGGCCGCAATGGCTGGAATTGAGGTGATCTGAACCTAGGAGCCAGAAGCTTCTTCTAGGTCTCTCACGTGTGGGTGCAGGGTCCCAAGGTTTTGGGCTGCCCTCCGCTGCTTTCCCAGGCCACAAGCAGGGAGCTGAAACATGAACTGGTACCCATATGGGTTCCCGGCACTTAAAAGGGGAGGTTTAGCCAGTTGAGCCATTGTGCCAGCCCCATGACTCTTGTTTATACTCACACTCATGGTCTGCCATCATCTTTTGCTCTCCCCAAATCAGAAATTGTTTTAGTGACTTGAGCATGATAGGATTGTTATTTCTTCC